ACATTCTAGCATAAAAAACCGACCTTTGCTCCTCCTTATATACAACAGCTGCACAGTTGTACTTGCCCCTAACCCAGGATTTGTCAAGGTCAAAGTTTCCCCATCCTTTCCTATTGATTAAAAGTCTTCTGGGATGGGTTCTGCAGGTAATACAGTCATAAAGGAATCCTACAGGAATCTGGAAGAAGAAGCAAGGACCCTTTCAACATGCAAATCACCTAAGATGGCAACCTGACGAATTTTTAAGTAATCTAAGAGGGTAACAAATACATTGATAGTAAAAATAATTTTTCTTACAAAGACCTACAGAGACGTAAGGATGAAATAAAGCAGATCTGTGTTTCATAGGGAGGAGCAAACAGGAGGAGAAGGAAAGTTGAAGACTAAGTATGATGGAAGGACAACATTTGCTCTTACATCAGAAGATTTTTCCCTAAGGCCAGTCAGTCCTTAGAGTGTCAGTAAAGGAGGTGTCATTTGAGGGTTCTTATTGGACATGGTCAGAGATCACAAACCTGGAGCAGAGAACATTCAGGGAAGTTTGCTTAATGAGTATTCTGTTTCTTGTAATCAATTAACCTAGTGAGTTTGATGCATAAAGTGTGAAAATTGAAATTTTTAAAAATTTTATTATCATGCATTAATTGTAAAAGGAGTTTCATTGTGAGACTTGCACACAGACATATGATATAATGTACTTTGATCAGCTTTACCCCATCTATAATATTATTCTCTTTACCCTCCTCGCTCCCTCTTTGTAAGTTTTTAGTGGGTTTCATTATGCTGTTTTCCTGCATATAAGTAACGTACTTAAATCATATTCACCCTCTATCACCCTTCCCTTTCCCCTTTCTCCTCCCATTGGTTTCCCCCCAAGCAGTCCCTCTTTTACAATTGTGTTATCATCACCACCATCATCATCATAATTATTACTGGTCTGGTTTCAGCATATGAGCAAAACATGCAATGTTTGACTTTCTGAGTTTGGCTTATCGAGCTCAACCTGATGATAACCAGTTCATCCATTTTCTTGCAAATGATGTAATTTCATCTTCTTTATTGCTGAATAATACTCCATTGTGTATATGTACATTTTCTTTATCCATTCCTTAGTTTTGGGCCCCTAAACTGATTTCATAGCTTAAGTATTATGAATAGTACTGCTATAAACAGGTGTATATGTATAGGTATCTGTATTATATGGTAACTTCAGATATATTGATTACTTTTGTTGTGTTTGTTTTGTTTTTTGGTTTTTTTTTTTGCAGTACTGTGATTTGAACTCAGGGCTTCACGCTTGCTTAACAGGCACTCTGCCATTTGAGCGACTCCACCAGCCCTGTTTTGTGTTGGATAGAAATTGAAATTTGTGTTTACCCTTTGTAGATTTGAAAAGGAAGGACATCTAAGTGCAATGAGAATAGGAAGGATGGTGGGGTGGTGGTATTTAATTACCAGTGTTCACCAGAATTACTTGGGTCATCCTGGGTAAGTTTTCAGCTGTTCACATTTGCATTCAGGTCATTGGTCTAGTCACAATGTGGATTTTGACCACTGAAAATGTCTGTCACAGGCAGTGGAAAAACAAGATATCCTTGCGATGTGCCTGGTGAAAAAATGGTTTATTAAATTGAGCGTTTATTTGTGCTGCTCCTGGTCCCAAGTTCTGCTACTGAGTAAGTAAAACTCAGAATGTCCTGAGCAATAGGAGAATCTTTGGTTGTTTATTCTTGGTGTTTTTACATGGTGTCTGTATGGTACTAGTGAGATGGTGCACAGAGCCTTAGCCAGATAACTTCAATATAGAAAATGTTGCTCTGCACCAGTGACTCACACCTGAAATCCTATCTTCTTGAAAGCAGAGATCAGGAGGTTCTTGGTTTGAACCCAGGCCTGGGAAATAAGACAGCCCTGAGTAAATTGTTTGTAAGAATCTATCTCAAAAATGCTGAACACAAAGAAGGGCTTTTGGAGTGGCTCATGTGGTAGAGCACCTACCTAGCAATTGTAAGGCCCTGGATTCAAACCACAGTACCACAAAAAAGATGGTGAATGGTGACCATACAGAGCAAATATATGTGGCATTAGAACATACAGTGGTACCAGTGTGGCGTGATTCAGTGCTAAACTGTCAAATATCTAAAACTCTGTATTGCACACTGTCCTCAGAATTAGAACATGGGATGCCCATTGGTCTTGGAGAATTCATTAGAGTTTAGCAATGTCAGGAAAAGACAACAGAGATCTGAATATTGAATTGGCTTTGGATGAGCGTTTGACACCTTTCCTATTGAGCCTGTGTCGTAATGAAGCATTTCATCAAATAAGTGAGGAAAATGGTGTGTGTGGAGGTCCCAGAGTGACAGTTCCTGGTTTTCTAGCTTCCTGACTCCTTTCCTCAAAGTGAATCACATGGCCTGCATCTGCACAGAGACAATTTAAAAACGTGTATAACAGTTTCCTTATGTATGGTAGTTTCAACAGGCTGCGTCCTTGAGTGGCTTCATTCTGAACCCTTTTTAGAATCTTTTTTTGTGAAAAAGCTCTTTACCTAAGCAGTTATGAATTTTTTGTGCTTTTGCATGTAAGATTTTAAGGCAAACCTCTACTCCTCACTACATGTGCACTCCATGCACCAAACAAACTGCCCACCAGCAGCTGAAGTCTGTGACAAGGTCCAAAGAACAAAATCCTTCCCTATTTTCCTCTGTCTTGACAGGCTGTGTCACACATTTTTGACCATGGACATAGGCATTTGCATATCAAGCCAGGTTCCCAAGTTATTTAGTGCTATTTTAGATATTTTGCATATAGGGTCTCCCATTTTGACCATTGCTGCCTCATACTATGATCCTTGCACAGATAATTCCCATGTGGTAGAATTGTTTGCCCAGGTTGGTCCCAAACCATGATCCTACCAATCTTTGTCTCCTGAGTAGATGAGTTCACAGGCATTAGCCACCACATACCAACAAACACTATGATATTTCTGAAATACAATTTTTTCCTTGATGTCATGATCATCCAAGTTTAGAAACACAAACTCCCTTATTTTGCTTTGCATCTGGGATTGTGATTTAATTGATTCATTTTTGCCATCCATTCTACAATCATCCTATCATTGATAAATTTCCATATCTTCTTTAATGCTTCTAACAATCATGTATTTCACCTTTCTTGCAGGAATTGGGTTTTGTACACAGGGCTTTGCACTTATAAAGCACGTGCTTTAATTCTTAAGCCACACCTCTTCTTCACATTGAAGAGATGACTAGGATTTTGAGAATCTTCTCTTTAAAGCTGCTCTCTGTGGTTCCACACCTTTTCCTCAAGCAATTGAGATTATTCATTCTGAACAAGAGCATGAAAATTGAATAATAGTTACAGAACATATCACATGTACATAAGGATTGCAAAAGGGGGTGGGGGCATGGGGGAGAAATGAACCAAGCCTTGTATGCACATACGAATAATAAAAGAAAAATGAAAAAAAAAAGGATTGCAAAAATTGCAATGAGTTTTTGGAGAGAAGGAAAATGTGGTTGGAAATAAAGATCCCGCAAAGAAAGAGTGGTGAAAAGAGTTAAATGAGGATATAATAAATCCTTTCTCTACCTTGGGCATACTGGGTTTAAAGTTAGGGATTCAAATTTGCTAGGCACATGATCTAACACTTGAGACATGCCTCCTGTCTGCAAAATCATATATTCATATTTGTTATCATCTATAAATGTAAGTACTTGGTACTTACGGTTTCTGAAAAGAAATGATGAATGAGAGTAACTGAATATGTTATGGAAGGGAAGACACTGGAGCATTGCATGATACCTGAATTGACCCTAAGCTGTGTAATGTTATTTGAAAGTATACTCCAGGACTTTGTTGTGTCTGCTGAGGAGGTGCGAGGCCCGAGTTCAAATGTCAGAATCACAAAAATGTGGATAAAAGACTCAGTTGTATTCCTATACAATTAAAATCCCAGCTACTGAGGAGGCGGATGTTGCACACAGATTATCAATTGGCTGTCAGTCATGGTTATTTAGTGAGATTCTGTCTTAAAATAAAAAGATACCAGGATGTAGCTCATCAGTAGACAGCTTTGCTAACTATTACAAGGTCTTGGGCTAAACTTTGTAACACACACACACACACACACACACACACACGAAATAAAAGGAACAAACTGCATTAACATAAACTGCAAGTACACATTGCAAAATGAATTAATGTAACAAATAAAAAAAAATAAAATATATTGATATCCTAATAGTGAAAACAAAATGGAATACAGGGAATACACAATTAAATGGGAACTTAAGCCAGGGACTGGTGGCTCTCGCCTGTAATCTTAGCTATTCTGCAGACACTGGTAGCACGTTTACATTACCTAAAACATTATCCACATATTTGCCATGTGCCTGCTGCTGGGAGACGTGTCAGGTGACACTTTTATGGCAATGTGTGTTTATTTTCTTTGGTGTGAGAAAGCCCTGGCCATCTGCTCCATTCCAGTTTCCAGAGTTTGAGCATCAGCCCTGCATGGACTTCCTGTGTCCTAACCTACCTGAATCTCCTCACCTTAACTGACCTGATGAATTTTTTCGGTGGGATATTGAGACTAGAATTCTCTGAGCAAACCTTTTGTCCCATTTTCAAGGGGAGTATAGAAGATGGTCACAGTGAGTATGATAAGAGGAAGGCGCTGCGTCCTTAGGGTCAGGACAAGTTCTGCTGAATGTAATTAACCCATAAACTAAAATATATCTCCAACAGAGGAAGCCTGATTGGCAAGGACAGCTGGAGTGTCATTTGCAACTCACCAGTTTAACACCTCCTCCCTACTCCACCTTCCCGTCACTCAAGGACTTGGTGGGTGGGCGCTTCGTCCCTTAGCCAATCAGAGCGGCTGTTTAATCGTAGGCACCAGCCATCCAATGAGGAGCGGCAGTGTTAGGCGATTCACCTTGCCTTCCTCATTGTCGCCATATTTGCCATGCGCCTGCTGGGGGACATTGTGCAGGCTGCACAGCTCCAGCAGCTGTGTGAAATCTTCTGACTGCAGGACCATGGGGAGGTCACCTGGACGTGTCGGAGGCGGGAAATGGTGAGAGGGCGGCTGGGCATCCGCAGTGCTGGGTGGCGGGACTGTTGGATCCCGAAGCTGCGGTGGTTTTTACTGGGCCCTGTCTGTTCTGGAGACTGCGCCTTGATCACATGGTTGAGGTCTTAGGTCCACTGTCGCCTGGAAGGTGCCACTGGACTAAAGCCTTGAACCCCGTCCTGTGTCCCTGTGAGGGGACTTGCTCCCAGACCACTGCCCTGATGGGAGACTCTGTTTGCAATTCCCTGTCCAGCAGACTGAGGTGGCCGCGGAGCCTCCCCAGCACTTCCGGAGTTTTTGCTGGGATAGGGCGCTTCTGTGCAGTGTCTCCATAACTCTTTACTGGGACCTTGCTTCCCCTTGAGTCCTTCAGCTTCAGGAGAAGTATGGGCTAAACTCTGTGCCTTGTCCCCTCGATGCAGTACTTCTTAGTGCTAGCAATAAATCCGTAATTTCCACAAATCCTGTAGTTTGTTAGATTCACTGGAAATGCAAACCCACATGTGCACGTTGGTTGCTTTCTGAGTGGAGGGGAAACTTTTTGCCCTTCCTGACTTAACTGTTCGTTGTCCACAGGTTGTTTTTAGAATATTGTTTTATAATGAAATGCTGATTAACTTAGACCCTGACTTTAAGAGAATTATTCTAGTTGGAAAGCCCCAAAAATAAGGAATGTAGACATCTCAAGGCAGAAAGGCAGTTTGCTCTCAAAGAGGAGAACAAAGGAGAAGAAATAAATTAGTACTAGACAGACATGGAGATTGGGAAAATCAGTTTTCACCTGTGATCATCTTGGTCTTGTGTCTTTGTTACTTGTGTTATTTTTGGGGACTGACATTTGAAATCATAGTTTTGCATTTACAGTGCACAGGTCTACTGCTTGGACCATATCTCCAGTCTATTTTGCTGTGGTTATTTTGGAAATGAGGTCTGGTGAGCAATTTTTCTAAGGTGATTTTGGCTGTTATTCTGTTGTTGTTAGGTCCCTGGCATTCTTGGGGTGGGCAGAAGGACCTTAAAACCAGACCCCCTGATTTATGACTGCTTGTTTCTCACTGCCTGATTGTTTCTCGGCTTGCAAAACAACTCAAACTTGCAGGTACTCAACTAGCCAGGCATGTCAACCTGTTCCATCTGGTGATCACAGATAATCAGAGACCAGAACTCTCTCCCTCCCCCATGGCTTGGCCCCTCCTATAAAGCCCACTACCCAATTCAGCCAAGCCACTTCACTTTGAACCTGAGAGTGAGAGCCCATGGTCCGGATTAATAAATCTTTCCTTTCCACACGTGGCATGGTCTTAATTTGGAAGTACCTTACAGTTGTCAGTCTCTCAAGTACCTACATTTACAGAAAGGTGCTAGCAGCACTAAGATCCCGTGGTCTTTTTTTTTTGTGACTGCACTGGGATTTGAACTCAGGGCCTCACACTTGCTAGGCATGTGCTATTACCTCTTGAGTTACCCCACTAGCCCTTTTAGGTAATGGGTTTTTTTCAAGATAGTGTCAAGAAATTTTTGCTAGCACAGGCTTTTAACCAAGACAAACCTGATCTCTCTCTCTCTCTCTCTCTCTCTCTCCTGAGACATTAAGATTACAGGTGTGAACCACAGGGATTTGAGTTCTTCCTGATCTTATGGTGACTGTAAAGTGTGATTTGTTTGGTGACTCAGGCTGATATTTGTCAAACCACCTTACTACTATTTACAAATCATTTTGAAGGTATTTGTGATGATTACTTCATAATCATTTTTGAGGCAAAAAGGGGCATTTGGAAAGTGTGTGGAGGAGTATCTGAGTTTACAAAGTGGGTAATGGGAAGAATGTTGCTTCTGTGCTCCTTTGCTACTGTGAAAATGAGTGGAAGTGTGGTTTAATTGCAGCTATTTATGAGAGTTGCAACATTCAGAATATATCTTTGCACTACTTTCATTTTGTGTTGAAATAGTTGATTAGACAGCGTGTAATTTGTGCCAGTGAAGACAAGTCCTGGAGGCTCAGGCTCCCAGAAAGACACCTTTATATTTTTCTTGATGTGGCAAAAGTTCGTGTATTTGGAAGGCCATGTGAGTGTGTAGTATAGATTAAAAGTTTTAGTCCTTGTGTCAGTTTCTAGCATAGTGATTTTGAAATCCTTGAAATTTCCGAGGCAATAGGAGTGTATTTGGTTGTTTTCCTAAGCCCCATTGAGGCAATGTTTGCATTTATTGTAATGATGGGTCTTAGTGTGTTACATCTTTATAACATTAGGAAGGTGACTGTCTTGAACAGACATAGCAAAGAAGTGCTTTCACACTGCCCAGAAGTTGGAGGGGCTGTGCTAAATCTGGAGGGTGTCAGATTTGAACTGAAGGAAAATTAGTTGGTATTTGAAAGTTGGTTTGGTGTTGGTAACACCACATATTTGTTATGGAAAGTGATGGCAAAGAAATTCGCAAAAGTCATAACATTTGGGGTCTTTGGGGCAATATTTGGTAATGTTACCAGAGTGTCCATTCTTAGTACTTATGTCTTGTGTGAGATGAAGGCACTGGAATTGAGCCAAAGTGAAGAAAGTTTCATGAAGGAAAGAGTACACATTGAATCTACTTCATAGGTAGCAGTTAGGCATAAACCATGTAGTAAATCTCAGCAAAACTAAAATGGTGGAAGAAATCAGAAGGTTTCTGAAAATAAGCATTGTATTTAGTAGAAGTCAGCATACTTTGACAAAGATTAAGGTAGCTCAGTAAGGTCACAGGATGTTAGATGACTGTTTCCCTCCCCTCACATTGGGAGCATGACAACAGTTTCTGGAGTAATAGATCTTTCCCAAAGAGTCAATCCAATAAACCATATCCCTTGTGGTGAGGTTGACCCAAAAGATTTTGCTCATTTTAATTGTGTAACATTGCCCTAGTGTTCTACCCTGTTAGCAGAATATTCTTTTAGGGTGGGAATTGTGGCATTGGTGCTCTGTAGAGTATGGATATATTAAATTTACTGCAAAGTTGTGGTAATGTATGATTTTATCTAACCTTTTATGATTGTTTGCTTATTCTGTGATTTGAAAATATGTGGATGTTCTAATTTATTCCACTTGTCCATTTAGCATTATACATCTTGTTTGTATGCTGTTTTTTGTACTATACTGATAACCTTTGGTGTTGAGCAATTTTTGTACTTGTTCCTTCATGTTACTATTGCCCCCATCTCACCCTACCTCTCTGCATGTCATTTTTCTTTTACCGTTCCTTCGTTTTGTGTAAATGGTATTCTTCTATTGTGTGAAGTTCAGATGGTTATTATAAATTCAGCAAAATGATGTGCTTTGCATATAGCTGGTGTAGTACAATCTTGCGGAAGTCCTTTACCTGTTTATTTACTTATTTATTACTCAGGGTCTCGTGATTCCTAAGACAAGCACTACACCACTGGAGCCAGTCAACAGGTGCAGTAATTTATTAATTATATTATCACATTTTCTATCCCCCATTGTAATACCTAGTACTTTAAAAATGTATTGGTAGTAATTTCCCAAACATATAAAAAATCCTTTTCCAAGTTAGTTAAATGCATTTCAAGTAAAATGTGTTGCTTCATGGACAGAGCAGATACTGTTATGTTCCCCACTGTTTTTATTCAACCCATATGTCATTGTTCTTACTGATTGTTCATATTATAAGGGATGATCACCTAGTCTATAATTTACTTTGAATGACTTTTGGCAAAGATTGTCCTTGAGTACCTTGAGTACCAGTGAGGAAGAAAGTAACGAATTGTTGGTTACTTATAATTTCTTAACACTGTCTTTTCTTTATGTGACCTAAGTTCTTAGCTTATATGTTTTTATTTCTTTGTAGAGATCTTTCAACCATTACCAAATTCAGATACCAGTGATACATTCTGTGAATTTAAAAGTGTTCTCTTTCTCTTCTAGCTGCATCATTTCAATCATTTTCATGCTGACTCTATTCTTCTTCCTCTAGTCCACCATTAAGCACCTATAATGATGGTTTCATTGAACTTGTATATCCATCTTCCTGCTCTCTGTGTAATCCTTTGATGATTTCTAAGTCTGCACTGATTTTATCTTTTGTAGATAATATTTCCACTTTGCTGTTTCTTCTACATGCTTGCCTATACTCCTTTGATGATTCTACTTTAAACAGTTCCAAGAAAAGGCTTTGTGAAATGAATCCCCTGCCTGAGATTTTTCAGCAGTCAATTTCTCATTCTCAAAATAGAATTTTGGACCAAGAGCACAAGCTCCTGTGATTGCACATTATAGGTCCAAGTAATTACCCTTCAATTTCAAATAAAAAAGCATGGTGAAGGCAGGGAAAGCAGTATTATTTCACAGCTAGGATATGGTGTGGGATGAGGCAGAGTAAGTACTCAGCTCATGTTCACCATCTCCACGTACGGACAAGAGATACAGATTTAAATAGGCAAAGAACTGGGGGCAGGGAGCAAAGATATGCACATTTAAACAGTTCCCGTCACAGGGGTGGTGTAGTTGTTACAACTCAGCTGTTGTTATGGGAGAGGTTCTGGAGTTGTTATCCAGAGGATGGTCTATCCAAAGGAGGGTCTGCTATTGGAGATTGATTTGGATTCAGGTCATGAAGAAAATACCTGTCTTCTCCTTCCTAGATTCCAAGGGGGCTGCAAGGTGACTGCTGAAGAAGGCTCAGAGAACAGACTGATTCAAAATGGTAGGTGCCACATTTTTTCCTGCTTTTAGTTGATTCATGGACTGAGTATGGAGTCCATGCTTTTTAGGAAAAGCAATCTGAGGAACACCTACAATGCTTTTTTAACTGAAGATCCACATTTCCCTGTTTCTTCATATTTGTTGTCATTTGTTCTTTGTGTGTGAAGAGTGGATATGATATTATCTTCATACAAAGTTTTTCCATTTTCCTGGCCTGGCCTAGAACCACAACTCTTCCGAGATTATAGGATGTCCCCATGGGGAAATGAGTTTGAAATTCTCACACCACATTCCAGGCTCCATTCCCCAGTTGAAGAAAGGTCCATTTTGAAAAGCAGATTCCACTTCACTGCAATGCATTACCAGGCTGTAGTGGGTAGGCACCAGGGAGGAGGTCTTAACTGCTGAGGGCTGTTCCAGGATTCAATTATTTGGTTTATGCACCCTCCCTTATAGGAGATTACTTCTCCTGTTGCTCAGATCTCAAGGGGTGAGTTGTGGATTACTAGTCTTTGAGAAGTGCTTGAGAACTGGCAAATCACAGTCTAGTGTAAGTAGGACCCTCTGAATTATGCAGGAAGTGCCTTCTGGTGTCTGGACATTTTCTGGATCACATTGTGATGCTGAGAGCAATTCTATGTAACTTAGTCTCTCCTACAGTGGCTTGTATATGGTCCCAGGTCTGTGATCAGTACTTTACTCAGCAAAGAAGCCTAAAATGCTGTTTGTAACTGGCATCCCAGACCCTAGGAGGATGAGGACATAAGAAATGGCCCGAAAAGGTTGGTACAGACCTGGTCCTCCCAAGTACATCACTGCATTTTGTGGCCTGACTCGCTGCTTGTGAAGTTTTGTATTCTTCTCTGCCCTGGGGTGGGACTGTTCAGATGGACACACTCTGGCATCCTGTCCTCTATGTGCAATGGCATAGCCCTTGCCCAGAGCCCTGTTAGGACTCCTCATCACCTGAGCTCTAGGTCTCTCCAGCCTTCAGTGGGTGGGAGGTTTTGGCTCCCTCCATTATCCTTGTGGCCTTGGTGATTGCCCAGAATTAGCTAAGTGTTTAGAAGCTGATCTCAGACTAGAGCCAGGTCCACAGAACAGTTCTTAGGGCTGTAATAAATTCCTAAACTAAAGCTGTCTTTGCATTGCCCAACTCAAGGCAAAGACTCTGCATGCACATGTGGGGTTCATGACAAAGGGGAGATGTTGGGAAGGTGTTGAAGGTTGAAGTTTTTGCAATATCTGACATAATTGGAATTGTTTAGATAGTATGTTCATACTTTAATTTCAGATGGAGACAAGGACTGATCATATTGAAGTAACAATAGCAGGGCAGCACCAACTCGGAGGTCTGCAGGGTCTCAAGGGTGAGGTAGAGCAGGGCTGTGCTTTCTAGGGAGGGGCATATTGTTGTGGATGACTCTGGGAGAGGAAGGATAACAAAGCAGCCATCAGCTCCTTGATCAGATGTCCTTTCCCCTGAGCTGACATTGTCTTCAGGTGACCTTAAAAAGGGGTTGTTGTGTTGCCTCAGGTCGAGGGTGGTTCATAGAATTCAGGAGTATGAAAACTTCAGGAAAGTTTGCTTATTAGCTGTTCTGTTTCTTCTGAAAAATTAAGGTAAAGTTTTTGAGGCAGAAAGGGGATTACCTAAAGTGTGAGCCTTACCTTATGTTAGGTTTCTTGGGGAAAGACATGTAAGTATAATGGGAACACAAAACATGATGTTATTTAATCATGAGTGATTTCTAGGATTACTTTGCTTTTGTAATATTTCAACTGAGTTTATTTTCTTTTTTGTGGTACTGTGGTTTGAACTCTTGTCTCACACTTGCTAGGCAGGCCCTGTATCACTTGAGCCTCTGCACCAGAAAGTTGTTTGCATTTTCATTAAGGGGGCTGACCTTGTCAGAATGTACCTCCTGACAGTTGAGAAAGCTTGTGAAGTACAATGGGAAAACAAGACACATTTGTTTCTGTCTGCTAGAACACAGGTTTTTATTACCTTGAGGGTTTTTTTGAGTTTATGGAATTGGTGGGATTGCTACAGCTTCTCTTCTACCTAATAATTGTTGAGCTTACTTGTTGGTATGTTCTTTCTTTTCTTTTTATTTGTATATTTATTTCTTGCAGAACTGGGGCTTGAATTAAGGGGGCTAATGGCGTACTCGTTGAGTCACTCTGCCATCCCTTTTTTGTGAAGGTTTTTTTTTTTTTTCTTCAAGATACAGTCTCACAAACCATTTGCCTGGTCAGGTTTCAAACCGTGATCCTCCTGTTCTCTGCCTCCTGAATAGCTAGGATTACAAGTGGGAGCCAGTAGTGCCCAGTTTGTTCCTACATTCTTGGGTGTTAAAGGATAGCTTGAGGGAACAGATATGAGAAATCCTTGGCCTTAAAGACAAGTGACTGATACCAACATACTGTGACACCAGTCCTTTTGTCCTATTCTATTGAAGTCTCCCTTTCCCTGTCCTACAAATTGATCCTTTTGTGAATTCATCTTAGATGCTGAATTTGGAATATTCTCAGCAGACTCCTGACTCCATTTCCATGTGAAAGATACAGAGTTCTTTTGGAAAAGCCAGATGCAGTTTCTTCTTAAATACAGTGCATCTGCCCACACTGTGGAACATAAGGTCCAGGGAGGAGGCCTGGTCTGCTAAGGACTGTGCCTGGAATCATTTACTGGTCCAGTCTCTATACCATGTGATGTATAACTTCTCCTGTCACACGGATCTAATGTGACAGGGCCTTGGTTCAAGAGCCAATGAAAAGAACTGTCAGTGGAGGCAAGAATTGTCTAGATTGTCCTACCAGAATCCAGTGGGAGGAGGCACCACCGCCTAATCTTTGGAAAATGACTTTCTGGTTTCCATCATTTTCTGAATCATTGAGAATCCTTCTGATATGGAGACAGTGGAACTGAATCTCACTCCCCTGTCATATGTGAGCTCAGCTAGGTTGGAGTGAAGAACCCAAGTCACCATAGCAGGTAGAAGTAGTGTTTGTGACCAGTATCCCCAGTCTCAAGAGGATGAGGAAGTTGGACCTGCTTGGAGCAGTAGTGAGAGACCTTGGCATTCTGAGCACAGTGCTAAATTCTGGGGCCTGAGTTGCCTGCAGTGCCTTGTAGCCCTCCATCCTATCTATTTTGTGTGTGGATCTGCAAAGATGAGCAGGACCCTGTCATCCTGTCCCGTACCTCTGAGTAACTTGACCATCCTGGAGCCCTTAATTCTCTCCCTAGATGATGTGCTGGTGAGAGGTAGTAGCTTCCCTTCAGCTGAAGCTGTGATCATTGGTGTTCACTGCTCCTTCCAAATTTCTCAGCGTAAAATTGATGGTCCTGAATTATGTGAAAATGTGGAAGCAGAGTCTTGAATAAACAACCTGATCCCAGACATGTGCTACTTAGGGTTCTAGTAAATCTCTAAATTTTCAGAGAGCTCACATTGCACAACTCACTGCAATGGTGGTGCACTTGAGTTGAGTTTTGAATGGGAGGGTTGAGATTGGAAACTTATCAAAGGTTTGTGAACATAGTTGATGGTCTCTTTGGTCTGTGCCTAGACAGAATTTTCAAAACTGAAATGAAGATTAAGGCAAAACATGAACTTAGGCTTTCAGTGGCAGGACTACCCCAACAACAGAGTGTGCAAGTGCTTCAAGGCAAGGCAAAGAAGGGCTGTGTTTTCAAGAGTAGTAAAGAGGGACGAAATGTAATAAAAAGAACCTAAGCAGTTGTGGGTAAAAGATGTGCCCAAATTAGCTCCTGGACCAGAGATCCTTAGCCTTGAGATTGTGTTTCTTGTGACAATGAAGGACGGGTTGATATAGTGGCTCAGGCTGAGGGTGAGTCAGAGACTGACTAGAAAGAGCAGAGAATTTCATTAAGATTTAGTTAGCGTGTTTAGTTAGGGTTCTTTTTCAGCTGATCAAGTAAGATGTTGAATTTGAGGTGGAAAATGGAAGAATCAAAAGTGTGTCCTTCCCTTGTTGGGTGTCTAAGTATAATGGGAACATTAAGGAAGGTGGTATTGTGGTCTTAAACACTAGTGTTACCAAGATTATTTTGCTTGGGTAAGTTTTCAGTTGTTTGCATTTTCATTGACAGAATTTCTACTCACAATGTAATTTCTGACAATTGTGGAAGTTGTAATGGACCTTGGGAAAGTCAGAGACCTTTAGGATCTCTAGCTGAATGAATGGAGTTATTTTTTTGGGTGTGCTCTTCATCACAGGTTCTGGCACAGAATTACTAAAACTCTTAGAATATCTTGAACTATAGGAGCAACTTTGGTTTTTATCCTTTGCCCCTTTAAGTGGTTTCTGAATATATGCTAGAGAGGTGGTAAATGGTTCCATCCCAGATGAACAGTTACCTCAAACCATGATTCTACTGTGTTTAGTCTCCCAAGTAGTTAGGATGATGAGTACGAGGCACCAGGGTCCAACAAGTTTTCCTTCTGTATTGTGTTTTAATTGTCTTTCATTTTGGAAATTGAAATAGCCATTTTTGGAAAGTTATTGCTTAGTTGGTTTGAAATAGGAAGAAAACACTAGGAAGAAAGCAATAAAAATAATACAAGCAATTCTACTTTTATATGTATAATTAACACTTGAACTTGTTTTGTTCATTCATTTTTTGTTTATATCATTTTGTATAGTTTAGTTTTTTCAGTGCTTGTGATAGAACCTATGGCCTTGCTCATGCTGACAAATTGACCTACCACCACGGTATTCATGTTTTTCTCAAGGATTCACTTATCTTCATATCTCAATGTTTTTGGTGAAGTGCAAATATTTCATGAGCTCCCATCTCCAAAAATATCGAAAGCAAAAATACTGGATGTGTAGCTCAAGTGGTAGAGAATCTGCTTTGTAAACCTAAAGCCCTGAATTCAAACTTTATCCAACCAAAAAATTAAAAAGGAGAGAAATGCAGAACATGATGATAAATAATTCAATGTGCTTATCAGCCCATTGGATGCAACTGTTACAGAATTCATTAATCAACAGCCAATAATAACATTTTTTATGAGTACAATGAATTTTTCCCAAAGAATAATGTAACATATAGAACACAACAAAGTCTGATTTCCCTG